TCGCAAACGCCTACGGCGTTTGATTAATATTAATATTAATAAAAAAAACACACATACCGTAAGGCCAGAGGGACTGTCGACAGTCTATTCCATTACATGGCTTTGCGTTTATTGTTTGTGGTGGAGTGAAACAACGTTTGCTGTCTTATGTAAAGCTTTTACTGATGTATACAGTATGTTGATCGTCTCGAGTAGCTCTATGACGAGTTGTGACAACGGGCAACGTAAAAAAAGAAAATGGCTTCACTACGCAGGATGCAGCATGAGTCCATTCCGCAATTGGGGGCGCTACATCCCAGGAGATCCTTTTTATAAACAAGAATTGGTTTAAATACAGTCCTAAACCCATTTGTACCCATGTTATGTAAACAAGTAGCCGGAAATCTGTCCGAAATTAGTTAACACGACAGAGGGTGCAAATTTAAATCATGGTGATTTAGGTGAGTTTGTTCATGGTAGTGGTGCTCATATGCTTAGTGTCCGTCTTCGAATAGTTTTGAATATGTATTGCCTAGCAACACTTCTTCAACATAGTTTATACATTCCACATATACAAAAATACACGATAACATCGACTAGCAATAATAACACTTGTATGGATTTGAGCATACTGTATTTATTGTTCCACAATAAACTAGGAACGTCCACATTTACATGTAATGGTATAATTATTCTTTAGTGAACGTCGGAAGAGTTGTCTTCATTCTAGGGGGAAAATCAAATAAAGTAAAAAAAATAAGTAATATTGTAATGATGCAAAATTTGTCTCAATTCAGTATTTCACAATATTTTGATAACATTTTCGATTAGATTGACTAGTAAACGTCAAAATGCATAGTTATTTCCAAATTGTCTTGCGGCACCTTATAATATAGATTTAAATACATTTAAATTAGCAAAATACAGTGTTAAACGAAAATGGGAAAACAATAACGACCTTGCAAGCTTTCCAAATGTAATTCTCTAATGTAATAATTTTGTCATTGGTGGAACGTCGGGGAACTTCATACAGATTAAAACTATATTAAATATAAATGAACGTATAATTACAGTGTAACTATCGTACCTAACACATAATCTTCGCAAATGTATGGTCTTCTAGAATTGCAAGAGATGTCATTGAACTTGGAGTGTTGCCGCGAGGGAGCAGGCCTGTCAATATAAAATTTACTATAATATATTGCGCAAAGTCCTAATTTGTCATGATAATTCACAATGGTAAATTCAATACTCACATATTATATATTATTTTATTCATCTGTAACATATGGGTTTAGATACTAGTAGAAGCGCAACAAAGACATTCCATTCATCTTAATAAATATTCTTAATAGATTCAGCTGCCATTGATATTATAAATATTTATCAAGATTTAAAAAATGACTTTGTTGTGCAAAGAGGTTGATGTTAATGAATTAACTACTCTTTGATTTCAATAAATTGGCAACTCGTTGATTTCAATAAATTGGCAACACGTTGATTTCAATAAATTGGCAACTCGTTGATTTCAATAAATTGATAACTCGTTGATTTCAATAAATTGATATCTCGTTGATTTCAATAAATTGGTAACTAGTTGATTTCAATAAATTGACGACTCGTTGGTTTCAATAAATTAACTACTTGTTGATTTCAGTGAGTTAATAACTCATTCATTTCCGTGAACAAATCATTAATTTTAGGAATGACAATTGCCAAATGAAGACAAACGCCAAAAAAGTGTTCAAAGCTGCTCAAATTACTTCTTTATGTATGGTTTATTTAGCTTGACTGTAATGTATATTTACCACATTTCAACACAGTAATTGGAATCAGCATGTGGCGCTGCTCTTGCCCAGTTTTGATAAGTTAGTTCTGATCCATCTAAATTGGCGAAAATTCCATTCTTGTTTGGATCATGTATACCAATCCAGAAACCCGCTATTATGAAGCAAAACAAAGACATATATAATCAAGAAAGGTTTACTGTAAAACATTTATTACACGAAATAAATTAATCGAAGATCCATTCCAACCATACAATAATAGTATAAGGTAAATGGTAAAAGAGTGAAAAACAACCGTACATACAGTTTGTGGATTCTCCAGCTGTGGATATGGCGTTCAGTATCTCATGGTGAGCTGCTGCATCTGGGATTGATGCCAAGTGACCACCAGTGGATGTCTGACACAAACCTTTAGCAGAAGACCAATTCTTTTTGTTACTATTAACAACGTATCTTCTGACCCAATTCAAAGCTTGCACTGTTTCTTGTTCCAGTTCTGGTTTCAATTCCGGATCTTCTTTGTTATCTAACGCGATTTCGGGTGAAACATCAGGTCTCGTTTCAAACTCATCCACAGACTCTCCTGATTTGGGTTCTTCTGTTGATTCCACAGACTCTCCTGATTTGGGTTCTTCGGTTGATTCCACAGACTCATCCACAGACTCTCCTGATTTGGGTTCTTCTGTTGATTCCACAGACTCATCCACAGACTCTCCTGATTTGGGTTCTTCTGTTGTTTCCACTATTCCCGACATAATTTCAAGAGAAACTTCAGGTCTTGTTTCAAACTCATCCACAGACTCTCCTGATTTGGGTTCTTCTGTTGATTCCACAGACTCTTCTGATTTGGGTTCTTCTGTTGATTCCACAGACTCTTCTGATTTGGGTTCTTCTGTTGATTCCACAGACTCATCCACAGACTCTCCTGATTTGGGTTCTTCTGTTGATTCCACAGACTCATCCACAGACTCTCCTGATTTGGGTTCTTCAGTTGTTTCCACTATTCCCGACATAATTTCAAGAGAAACTTCAGGTCTTGTTTCAAACTCATCCACAGACTCTCCTGATATGGGTTCTTCTGTTGATTCCACAGATTCTCCTGATTTGGGTTCTTCTGTTGATTCCACAGACTCATCCACAGACTCTCCTGATTTGGGTTCTTCTGTTGATTCCACGGACTCTTCTGATTTGGGTTCTTCTGTTGATTCCACAGACTCGTCCACAGACTCTTCTGATTTGGGTTCTTCTGTTGATTCCACAGACTCGTCCACAGACTCTCCTGATTTGGGTTCTTCTGTTAATTCCACTATTCCCGACATGATTTCAAGAGAAACTTCATCTGCTAGCACTGGTTCTTGTGCTTGATCTATTTCATGTTCTTGTATAGAATTTGGATGTGACTCAGTTTGCAAAGCAGGTTGAGGGTCTGGTCCCAGTTCTGTAGTTATTAATGGATCTGGTTCTGGTGTAACTTTTTCTCCAAACTCTATTGGACCATAAACCATGTCTGTCCCAAAGTCTTGTTCAGGTTCGTGTAGTTCGGTCACATCCGGCTCTGGCTCTGGCTCTGGCTCTGGCTCTTGCTCTGGCTCTGGCTCTGGCTCTGGCTCTGGCTCTGGCTCTGGCTCTGGCTCTGGCTCTGGCTCTGGCTCTGGCTCTGGTTCTGACTCTGGCTCTGGCTCTGGCTCTGGCTCTGGCTCTGGCTCTGGCTCTGGCTCATGTTCTTGTATTGCCTTCACTGTAGGTTCCGATTCTGCTTCTTCTGTTTCAGATAGAATTACATGGATAAATAAATGTTAAATAATGCATTATGCATGGGTTATTCACTTATATCTTTATCGACATTGGGTCATAAGCTTGTGCAAATTTTCAAGATACAATTTACAATACACTTCTCTGAATGTATGTACAACATTGCAGAAAGATGCTACATAGGTATAATTGGGAATGTCCACAACACATTATTACGAACCACTTTAAAGATTTAATAATTTAAAGACTTGAATCTTTTGTTTACTAAGTGTACTTATATTACTTCGAATAACTGAGTGGTTGCAAATGATGTCATAAATGGCAAGATTTTATTCTGAAATGATATCACCATATAAACACAATCCTTCTATCACTGCGGTGATATGTGTACTCACCAACATATTGGCATATGAAGGATTTTTGAACTGAGCAATAATCATCATCGAACTTCCAACTGGGTCTGTTTCTCGGCTGTTTCCTGATTGAAAGAATTTGTTAACGCAATATTCAACAGAGCATTTCAATAAATTAATAAATAAATAAATAAATATGCAGGGTTCGAGATCGTTATATTTTAACGTAAACGTGCGACAGTATCTTATTCAGCTCTGCATGGGTATTTGTATAAATATATACATACCATAATTGAACACAATTCTGTCCACCTGAGTGTTTACTTATGTCATTGCTCGGCTGTTCAGGATACCAACCACCGTCATATGTAAGTAACGAGTTATCAGTAAATACGAAAGTGCCTTCAGCGTCTAGGTCGTTTGCTCCTATCCAATAACCATTACCTTTCGGGTTGAGGGATGGTTGAGATGTGATGTAACGCTTCAATCTTCCATGCACGCCTCCTGAGTTTACGATCGCTAGTTCTCCACCGTCATTAGCACATCTGTTTCTAGCCACACTCCATTTTTTTCTTATATCGTGGAAAAATTTGAATCGGATACCAGTCTTAGGGTCAAGTACTTCTGCGGAATTACCGGTAAATTGTACATAGAAGAGAAAAAAAACAATAAATATGCATTGAATTAATAGTACGCTTGAGTAATCAGGGCGCTTGCGTATAAGAATATATGTATTTCGTTGTAACGTGCGACCAACAAAATTACAAAATATTTGTGTAGATACGAGAGTCGATTATTCCAAAACAAAAGTGCTCAATACAAAGTATATGTAGAGCGGATAGATACGGTGATAGAAGAATTAAGAATATTCACAAAGTTGTGTCTTAATTCCTCTATTACTGTATATATATATATATATATATATATATATATATATATATATATATATATATATATATATATAGCAAAGACGATATAGCATTATATATTTACCCTCTAGCCTGCCATCTACCTGTAAAACAAAAATATCGGTGTCAGAATGATCGTATTAAATTTAATAGTTAATACTCTACCAAATGTACATGACTGTTACAAATACTATCATGTGTGTGGTATTTTTGAATTCATACGCAAAATTATTCGCTTTCAAATTAATGACACACGACTTAACGATTCAGATTAAAGAATAAATTAAATTATAATCCATGAAAATCTAATAATTTGTTTATCATATCCTTTTCAAGAAGAAAACTCAAACATGCTGCAGGTATTATCACATCGATATCCCCCATTCACCCTCGATCAAACCTATATTGAAAATGATCATTTGAGAGGCACCGTAGTATACATTGAAACGATTGTCCCGGAAAAATTATAAAAGTTTGAGAACTGAGTTTAAAATAAATCGTATTTATCATTAAACCATGACATGGCACTTACCGGAACAAGATTTGTACGACAGTAGACTACGGTGAAAATAACGGTTAGGGTTGAAAGAAATGTAATCACCTTCATGACGTCTATGCCTGAAATGAACCATATTCACTGATTAATATATTACCACAGTTACATCTGTTGGCCCATCAGTCTGTAAATTTAATGAGTGCACATGGTGATACAAAGAGACCGTTTATTTAATATTATAAGCAATTGTAGATTAATTGTTAACTGACATATTGCCATGCATCTATTATGTCTGTCAAGATTCTTTTCACAAATACAACCGAATTCTAACTTTATACTTTAATATTCGTTTATTAAGAAAGTTGCTTTCGTTGTTTCGACTTTATATAAATTAGGCATCACGTTTTTAGCACGTTTTAGTACACGCCGTTTAGGAGGAAGGAAATGTGTCGTATATTAATGAAAACTCTCACGTTTGTGACCGTTTGTTTTTGTGAACAAACTTGGGCGTTCTTCTGTGAAAACAAACCCCACTCATTAAAGTATATTCTCGCTAAATCATCGATTAAAAAAACACATACAATTAGACAAACTGTACTTAACATCATTGAATAACACGTTGCAACAAGTTTCTCTTCCGTTATGAGATTAATTGGAATGATATAGAGAGAGTCATAATCAGTATTTCTGTAAAATAACACAGGTCCAAACCTGACAAAAATGTCAATTATTCTTTGTGCAGGCCGCTATGCCAGAGGGATATTTTTATGCCGAGAACGATTAACGTTGTAAAACAATTACACGGAAGCCCTGACATCCTTTGAACAACTCCGAATGTATCATGTATTTGTGTTCCGGTTGAACGAGACCCGATTGACTATGCAATATTCCCAGACCCTGCCTTATTGCAGACGAGCAATGTGCTATTATTTTAATATTTGTTTAGTAAAGTATACAAGGTGATTTCATAAAATCATTATTGGGTTTGAGAACTGTTTTCTACTGAAACAAAAGCCCAAAAGCTATGAAAATACTTTTTAGACCGAAAGTGTACACAGCTATTCAGGATATCATTATACATAAGAGTTGTTACTAGTATGTCATAGATTGAATTGGTTTGATCGTAGATGGGTTTGTTGCATGATAGATGAGGTTGATTTCGTCGTAGGTGGGTTTGTTGCATCATTGATGGGGTTGATTTCATCGTAGGTAGGTTTGTTGCATCATTGGTGGGTTTGGTTTCATCGTAGATGGGTTTGTTGCATCATTGATGGGATTGGTTTCATCGTAGATGGGTTTGTTGCATAATAGATGAGGTTGATTTCGTCGTGGATGGAGTTGTTGCATCATTGATGGGGTTGGTTTCATCGTGGATGGGTTTGTTGCATCATTGATGAGGTTGGTTTCATCGCGGATTGGTTTGTTGCATCATTGATGAGGTTGGTTTCATCGTGGATGGGTTTGTTGCATCATTGATGGGATTGGTTTCATCGTAGATGGATTTGTTGCATACTGGATGAGGTTGATTTCGTCGTGGATGGGTTTGTTGCATCATTGGTGGGATTGGTTTCATCGTGGATGGGTTTGTTGCATTATTGATGGGGTTGGTTTAGTCGTGGATGGGTTTGTTGCATCATTGATGGGGTTGATTTCATCATATATGGGTTTGTTGCATCATTGATGGGATTGATTGCATCATATATGGGTTTGTTGCATCATAGATGAGATTGGTTTCATCGTAGATGGGTTTGTTGCATCATAGATAAGATTGGTTTCATCGTAGATGGGTTTGTTGCATCAAAGATGGGGTTGGTTTTATGGGGTGACTGTGCCATAAATGGGTTGGTTGCATCATAGGTGGGTGGCTATTTTATAGATGGAGTTGGTTGAATCATAGATGGAATTGATTGCATCGTGGATGGATGGATGGATAGGTTGGTTGTATCATACATGGGATTGTGGATGGGTTGGTTGCATTATAGACGGAGTTGGTTGTATTATAGATCAGTTGTTATATTATAGATTGAGTTGGTTGAGTTGTAAATGGAGTTGCTTGCATTATAAATGGGGTTGGATGCTTCGTGGATGGGTTGTTTGCATCGTAGATAGGGTTTCTCGTATATAATGCTTTTCTTTTAAATTGCAGTAAACAAACTACTACTATATGCCAGTCAAAGCTGTGTTTATTATCACACTGCAAAATGTATGTAACTGTCTACAAACAACGATGGCACCGATTTCATCCACACTATTAGATGACTTGCACTGGCAGTAGTTATATTCACAACACTTGAGTTAGAAAATGGACCGATTGGGCACTTAGTGTTAAAGCACTGAGTTATACAAATAAACAAACATGAGTTAGGGAATATTTCCGTGTTACTTAAAGATTATCGAATACAGAAAATAAAACACTTAATTAAATTCTAATTTAAAATACGTAGTTTTTATGAAAAGTCTAGTTAGAACACTTTACATCAATTCTATGTTCCGATCTATCCCCGCTCATTGCCGCCGTTGCTTTTGTTTTTACGTTTAAAACAAAACAAATGTTTAACCAAATGATATGTATTTGGTGACAAGAATGAATTCTAAGACTAAGATGTCACCGATTTTACAGACATAACGGAGGGAAAAACAACGTGTTGTTAAGTTGGTGTCAACAAATCAATAACAAGCCTTGGAAAAAAGTATATCTTCCAGAAGTAACTTACCCGTAACAGTTGCACAGTCAGTGATGCGCCCACGGGGAATGAAGCCTCGTCAATCGAACACGTCATATTTGGATTTTTGTATATTAAATTGATGACAGCCTCACAGCCAATCACGAAACAAAAGTTATGCTAGCTATACAAACAATATGTAAAATACGAATGTTATTGACCCACATTTTTAAAACGACAAAATCGGAGAAATTGAACACTGACTATTTGAGCTTTGGAGTGTTCAAATTGTGGAACACATTAGTAACACTATGGTACCGGAACATGTGACATGTATTTATCCAAGGTTGGACCATTGAAGTACAACCAATATGGTTCAAAACGTTGGATCAACTTCAGTACTGGTTATCATAAGATATTATAATTATTATGTTTTTCATAAAAATAATTCCAGTGGTTTTGCTAGCGTCCCCGAACCATTCGTTTTTTTTCGAATTGTTTTCAATAAACGTACTAGAATTATATACTTAACTCATTGGTGAGTCATTGCACCACTGGTTCATATCAAGTGCTGGTCTTCCGCAGTTTTGGTTTATCGTATCGCCGCCTAGGTCCCCCCTGTATGTTACGCCCTTTAGAATAGAGGGACGTGCATAAAATGCAAATATTGCCTAACACATGCGTAACGTGAATTGTTTGCTCAATTCTGTCCTCAATTGCATGTTAGGCAAGTAACATACGTTAGTATATTACGTAATTACTATTGTTATTTTTATGAGTTTGCATATGGGGACTAAGTTACCCTCATTAAAAAATAATCATTGCAGGTAAGGCAGGTGTCTTCAAATTACGCTTCATTCAAATCATGACATCTCAAGAGTTGATATCGTTTGTGATGTCTGTGTCGACAACTACAGGTAAACGAAATCCAGCACTATGATTGCGTGAATTGGTGCTCAGGTTTTTCGTCGGCGGCGATTGTCAACAATCGTTTGCTACATTCTTACTTTTGGTTCTCCGATTCTACCTGTTTCTCAAGGAATGGGGTCATGTGACATTCTTTGTATTGTCGCCCTTACATACGAGTACAGAAGTAGGAACATGCGCAAGACAGAAAGTTATCACCAGCCATGTTATTCTCGCTGGGCTCTGAACCGAGAAAACCCAGCTTTCAAAATTTGAAAATAGTGAAATTAATTGTCGGTGAAAATAAATGGTGTTACAGTATAAACACGTTTCCGGTGCAAATAATGTATTACATATAACACGTATAAACACGTTTTTGGTACAATCATGACGGCCAATTAGTCTATATAACACAACACGCAGAAGGTCAAGTCAATATTCAACGGTTGAAATATATATATAATTAGCAAAATGTCAATGAAATAAAATTGAAATTCATGAAGATGGTATTAGTCACTATTATCTTCATCGTCCGATACGCACGGTTTCGGGGAAGCCGGCCATCTATTGTCGTCACGGTCTCTATGGGACGACGGCGGAATAAATCAACCTCGAGTCGGCTGGTGAAGATGCATTATCTTGTATTTGTAAGTTAGACATAAATGCTATAATTTTAAACTTTATAGACAGGTTCCATTGTAGGAAATGTGATTTTCCACAACACCGAAATTACTATATTCGGTATCTTCAAAAATAATTAAAAGTACGTCCCTTTAATTTAAGTTTAGTGCGCATAATAAACACAAAAACACAAATTACAAAAATCTATCTATATTGCCTCTGTAATTTCATGTATATGACTTGGTAATTCACCAATTACGATCAATAAAAGTAGCGTCCGCTTCATTTCCAGTGTTACGTGTAATACGGCTTGAGCAAACGTCGCCGCAAAGCGTCGTGTTCGGTTCCTATGTAAAGTATAAACGCGTCTAAAGTATTGTCTCCCAGACTTCTTTTAGTGGTCTGATTTCTGAGTGCGACACGTACAGTGAACGGGAAATCTCTTTTCATATACATGGGTGTCTCGTTTCGTCTTATCGCCGTTAATCTACGAGAAAACGCACAAGCAAGTGGGCCATTAAATCATTAAATTTCTCACTGATTCAATTAATACATATATAATAATTATTGTTAAATAACTGTCCGATGTCATCGTGACTATCGACAGAATAAGCACTATACGAAATGCATGCCGTGATAAAGCTATTTTTAGTTTTGCTTTTTTACAAACGTTCAGAATCGTTTACTATTGCTAATCATGGATATTTGAATATATCTACATTTTGTTTGATAGCTTGATATTTCTGATGTGCAAAATATTTCTTTTTTAAGATTGCTACCACATCAATGTTCCACCATTGTGGATATCGTCTACGTTTGAGGTAAACTTTTGGTACACTATCATTAATAGCAGATGTAAAACATGTCAACAGATATGTCGACATATAGTCATTTGTATCCAACACATTTCAGGGATACATACTTAACATTTTATTTAAACAATCAAAATTAACTTCACAAAAATTATTAATTGTTCAATCAACTGTTTTGATGCCATTGTAGTTGGGTAATGACAATTTACACTTTAATGCTACAGCTGGGTAAGTGACTTGAAAATCTTGAAAGTCTTAGTAGTTTCTGAATCTGAGGTATACACTAGATTTTATTTATTTGAGTGGGTTAGAGCTCAATTGAAGAGTATATGTCATATTTGTTCTACTTTCACTACTATGGGTTCACGCCAACAGGATCAGTTCTTTTTCTTTAGATAATGGCAATTTTATGGTCAGAGCGCCCTCTAGTATTTGTGGAGAATCATGTTCATTTGGAATGCTCTGATTGGATGGAAGTTCAAGCCTAGCAAGGTGTGATAGAATTGGCCTGTTATGTTCAGATTCAAATAAGCATGAACCACTAATTTTACAGGGAAGTGATACTTATAATGCAGCAAGCTGTTCTAATTGCTGTTGTGGTAGAGTTTTTCTAGTTTCCTGTCAAATGCATTTATTGGTCCACTGAGAAATCAAAATAATGTTCCCTGTTACTTAGACTCTTATTGATCAAGGCATTTTAAAAATCATGGGTGTAACTCCCCTCAAGTTATGACACGTTGTCCCCCACAGAATAATGGTTGCATCTAATATTAAAATAAAGATGGCGGAGTATAGCGTGGATTCATCTCGTTCTTACTCTGCATTACTTGGTGTCAATAAAAGATCCTAGAAAGTTAGTATTTATATGCCTGTGTGTTTTTTGTTTGTTTTTTCATTGCTTTTGACTTTCCCAGTATGTTTGTTGCTATTGACAACAATCCAGTCCTTTGCGATGCTTCAGTCAATGTTTTTCTTCACTTCCTACCCAGCTCTTCATTGGGCGCTATGTGGCTGGTGGGGTATATGTAGCACAGACAGTAGCACAATTGTCATATTTAGTGCTCCAGGAAAATATTCTCTATCCATGTGTATTTATATAAATAGATGCAGTTTCTTTGTCTTGAATAAAATTAACTGGCTTCATACGTACAGGTATATTTTTTTACCTGTTTCTAGTTGAAATTTAGCCAATCTTATTACCCAAGACAGTTTGACATTTGCCACATGTCACAACGCTCATTTCCTAGTGGCTGGAGCTTTTGTTTATATGGAAATTGTCATGGTGAATGGCAAAATCGATGATCAGAGAGTAATAAAAATAAGCACATGCTTACTCTGCCTGACCCCACTATGAATTAAAAGACTGTTTATGAGGCCATTTATGATGGTTTCATCATGTTTTTATGGAAAAAAAATAATTATAAACTTCTATGCTCTTTGTACCCAAGGGGGATCCATCATACTAAACAACATGTGTCACTGTTACTAAGAAAAATGTACTTATTTTATATTAAAATTACTGATATATATATAAATTTATATAATAACAATCATTCTGCTTTTCATCTCTAACTAGACCTACCTAGATTTAGTGACACCAATAAGCCAGATATAGATGTAAGTTTTGACAAGCTTACTGTGACCTGGGACAAATGGACTCCTGATGATATTGGAGATGGTCCAGTTGAATCTTACAAAGTATACTACAGAGAGAGTGTGAGATGACTGGATATCAAGTCAAGTTATACCAGTCAGTGATCAAGTCAGATGAGTTATACATCACCATCACAGGATACAGTGGTCTACACAATATGAAATTA